TTTGAGAAATCTTAGAAAAAGAAGATATCCCTGTCAGAAAGGCATATCTTTCCCATTACAAAGGGTAGGCAGAGATTGGAAGATACAAGCTAAAAGTTGTGATATCAACCTCTGGAAATATCTTAGGACATCTTTTTTTCCTCATAAAGCAGGACATCCTGTAATTTTCCTAGAATTGTGATTAAAAAAAAATAAGATAAAGTTTACTCTCCTAACCATTTTTAGTGTACAGTTTGCAAGTGTGAAGTGTATTTTCATTGTCATGCAACAGATCTACAGAAGTATTTCCTTTGCAAAATCTGAAAATCCATACCCATTAAACAACAATTCTTCATTTTCCTCAATCCCAGCCCCTGATTAACACCATTCTACTTTCTGTTTCTATGAATGTGACTACTTTAGGTAATTCATATAAGTGGCATCATCCAGTACTCTCTTTATGTGACTGACTGACTTCACTCTGCATAGAGTCCTCAAGGTTCACTTATGTTGTAGCATATGACAAGATTTTTCTAAGAGGGCTCACAAAACCAAGGCCATTTTGTACTCCACCTGCCATGTTGACTTCTGTTTAACCTCATTAATTAGCTTCACTGGCTAATTACACCTCAACATTAGGGCAAAAGTAAAGGGAACATAGGTTTCAGGGAATGAGTGATTTATTGCAACAGGTGGCTTCAGTGGTATGAGCACTGATACCATGAGACCCACCGGCTCATAGATCATAAGCACCTGGTGATTGATGTTATCAACTTACTTTATTTTATTTTATTTTTTTTCAAAGTTCTTTTCTTTTTATATATTTTTAAAATTTATTTTTTTATTATTATTATTATTTTAAATTTTATTTTGTTGATATACAATGTGGTTGATTATTGTGGCCCATTACCAAAACCCCCCTCCCTCTTCCCTCTCCTCCCTCCCACCCAACAATGTCCTTTCTGTTTGCTTGTATCAACTTCAAGGAACTGTAGTTGTTATGTCTTCTTCCCCCCCCGTTTTTTTTTTGGTGTGTGTGTGTGTGTGAATTTATTTATTTATTTTTAGCTCCCACCAATAAGTGAGAACATGTAGTATTTCTCTTTCTGTGCCTGACTTGTTTCACTTAATGTAATAACTTACTTTTCTTTAGATGTTTCCTTGAAGTTATTGTTAGTAACAGCGACTTTTGCTATCTAAACACTGTCTAACCCCAGAGAGCTAGAACTCTCATCTCTAGACCTCTGATTCTTCACTACATGTAGCTTTTCTGTTTGAGAGTCACCCCCATTAATAAATATCTTTGGTTAAAGAATGAACCTTCTTCCTTCTTCAGTCCCAAGGAAACTTCTCACTTTGGAGGGTATTAAATTTTAACCCCTTCCTAGCAAAATTCCTTCTCTTTTAAGGCTGAAAATTATCCCATTTTATGTATATGTCACATTTTGTTTATCCATCTGTCCATTAATGAATATGTAGGTTGCTCCTACCTCTTTGCTATTGACAGTAATGCTACTATAAACAAGGGTGTGCAGATATGTATTGAAGACCCTGCTTGCCATTCTTGTAGACATATATTTAGAACTGGGACTGCTGAATTACATGGTAGTTCTATTTTTAGTTTTCTGAGGAACAGCCATATTGTTTTCCATACAATATAGCAGCTGCACCATTTTACATTCCTACCAACAGTGCACAAGATTCCAATCTGTCCATGCTTGTAAACACTTGTTATCTTGTGTTTTTTGATACTAGCCATTTTAATGGGTGTGATATGTGTGATGGGTGTGAGGGAATATCTCACTGTTCATTTGACTTGCATTTCTCTTATGTTTAGTGAAACTGAGTATCTTTCCATGTGCTTGTTGGTCATTTGTGATTCATTTTGGGAAAGTACTTCTTCAGTTCCTTTGTGATTTTTAATTTTATTCTCTGGGGGATTTCTTGTTATTGTTAACTTGTAGGAGTTTTTCATGTATTTTGTATATTAATTCTTTGTCATACATACGATGTGCAAATACTTTCTCTTTTTTTTGTATATTGTCTTTCACTCTGTTGAATTTGTCCTTTGAAACACAGACTTTTAGGTTGAATGTAGTTTCAGTTGTCTAATTTTGATTTTGGTGTTGGCATAACAATTTAATGCAAGTTTCATGACATCTTTAAAAGATTAGGTCTTCGCTAAGGAAAAATCATGTGAAAGTACCCTTTTTAAACATTTATTTACAAAGGTTACACAGCTGATTCACAGAAGTAAGGAAGAAATATTGCCTCTTCATTTCAGCAAAGCATGTAGTGTAAAATGCAGATAAATATTGCAAAAAGCATGCAAGGGGTATTAGACGTATTTGTGACATGTTGAATAATAGGTTCAAAGCTGCTAATATCAATTAAGAAACACTTTTTTTTTTTGTCTTTTTCGTGACCAGTAAGGGGATCACAACCCTTGGTGTGGTGTCGCCCGCACCGCGCTCAGCCAGTGAGCGCACTGGCCAGTCCTATATACGATCCGAACCTGTGGCGGAAGCATCGCTGCGCTCCCAGCGCCACACTCTCCCGAGTGCGCCATGGGGCCGGCCCAAGAAACACTTTTCTTGTTACTCTATTTTGTTTAAAGTTTTATCAATGAAAATATAGTGTATACGAACATTTAGAACTGACACAATCTTGAGATAAATGCCAAATAAATGAATAATACAGTCAGGCAGAGGTGTCGGTGATGGGCCATAATAATCATATACAGTGTATATTGACAAAATAAAAATTTAACGAAAAAAATAATCTCCTTTTCATCCAAAAAAAAAAAAAATACAGTCAGGCAGGATTCTGACCCTGAATAGTCAGAATGATAGGTGGAAAATAATAAGAGAAATTTAAGAAAGAACATTGAAGAACATTGCTATTTTCTGTGGTGGGCTCTGAACACCAAATAAACAAGTACAAGATGGGGGAAGCACTACATTAAACATGAAACAAACCACCATGTAAGGGTTTAATCCTGTAGAAGTTCCTTATTAAACGAGAGTGTAATTTCACTACTGTGATTCAATCTAGATCGAAATACAACATTATACCCCATGAATATACAAAATTGTTCTTTGTGAATTAAAAGTACATTTAAAACATAATGTGAGGTCACTCAGGAGAGAATAGACAATGCATCTGGTGAGCTTCTGAGAGTTGTGAATGTAAATCCTATGCTTTGAGGACAAGTTGCAGCTCCCATAGTCGAAGACAGCAAGTGGGGAGTAGATCAACACATCTCCAGAAGAGGCAACAGCTGAGACAAAGGTGAGAATGCAGAAATCTATGTTTTGTCTCAGGCAGTTTTTTTTTTTTTTTAAATTCATAAAAATGTTCAAGAAAACTAAGGATAGAACACCTGAAGTCAGAATGGGCCAAGACACAGAGAGAAAAAGTAATGAAACCTGAGTCTTGAGATTACTATGGAATTTTGTTACATCCCATGAGTATGTTGGACCAGGAATTGAGCTGTGTTTAAGAAATCCCAAGTAACTTTTTTCATGTGAAATTTGTGCAGAAACGGAGGGTGAGTAACTTAAGTGAGACCCGAAGCAGAGTTAGTATTTAGAAATGACCACCCTGATGATTGCTTCCCATCTAGAAAATAAGAAGAAATGTTATATATGCTAAAGAAGTTTGAATTTTTTCTTCAGCATTGTATACACTTGACTCCTATGTTTTTTTAAAAAAACACATGCCAATTTGTCCTTCGTTTTAGTTTCAACTTATTTTACAAGTTGTAAAATAGTCATTACCTAGACTGAGAAAGTTGAGGTGGAACAGGATGGCAGGGGTTTACATAAGCTTTGTTTCAGGAATATTCAGTGTGAGATGTCCTTTAGACACTAAGATGGAGATACAGAGGGATAACTTCTTATTCCATTTTGCAGTTTTTGGAAAAAAATCTGAGTTGGCGATATTGATTTATGGTTTCTTGTCATAGAGGTGGTATTTAAAGCCATAAGAATATCTAGGATAATTAGTGAGTGTGTGAAAACAGAAAATAGTCCAAGAAATTACCTTAGAACACTCTAAAGTTTATTTTTTCCTTTAATTTTAAGGGATAAATCATTTCAGGAAAGACTGTATGTTTCAAAACTCGGTTGGATGTTTCTCAGCTGAAGTTGCCTCTCTGATGGGATTACGGTCTCCATAAGCAAGAGAACAGTTCGAGGTATAACTGTGGAAAGGGTACCCAAGTCCTGAGAAACTGCCAGTCTCAAAGTTATTTGGCCAATTTTTATGACACTGCCTCAATTTCAATAAAATAGTCAGAAATAGCCCCATCATCGCCCATCAAGGTCTCTGCTCTTTCCCTGAAGCACATAAATGAAATGGCCCTGACTCTTAGTTCTGGCTCTCGGATAAAATATGTGAAAAGTTTCCTTTTATCCAAAAAATATAAGTATCCAAAGAGCATTTGCTTATATTTCCCAAGCAGACAGATGTTCAACTCTCCTCTCCTCATCCTCGCCCATATCTGATTCCTAATCTTCCTTCCAGGCTGGTTCCCTCCTACCTCCCTGGCCAGCCCTCCCACTGGGATCCCTCATTCCCAGGTCCCTGGAGCTCTGATCCTTGAGATGCTGGAAGGGAGCCTTGGATTGTTGGTCATCCTTTCAATATGTGCCTCCCCTTCCAGACTAAACACAATGTGTTTTCTTGTCTCTGGAAGGACTAAGAACACACTAGCTGATACATATCTGCTACCTGCTACTTCTCTAGAGGGTGAAAACCCTACACCACCCCACCTCAGAACTTTCTGTAAAATGATCATTATCATCTCCCACCCCCCACTTCAAAATTTCTAGGCAAATCACATTTGGTCCTAATGGTCAGAAGGAACAAAACATAATAACAGGCACACTGAATAGGTAAAAATTTTAGGGAAAACAACTTTATTTTTTTTTCTTCAGGAAGTGACAAAATTTAGTGCCTTTCCTTCCTGATGGGTGGGCTTAGCTGTAGCTGAGTGTGAGTTTCTGAGCAGCAGAGCTTTAAACAGAAGTGACATGTCCAGTCGCCAGCATCTGAGATGCCCACTGTGTCACTGTCCACATGCAGGGGCTCTGGTAGAAGTCGTCCATGTCAATATTCATCAGAAAATAGATCAGGGTAGTCATCAAAACTAAAATGAAAAAGAATAATGTATAATATGGACTTCAAGACTCCATTGCTATGGTGGTAGCAAAGGCATTTCTGTGAAGCTATTGAAGGAGGAAATTTGAACCTTTTACTTCCTGACTGGTTGTTTAATCTGCCTGTCCTTCTTTCATGAACATGGCTTTATAACAAATATTTTTGTTAAAATAATAAGTAAGTTATTCAAATTATATGTTCTTGACTCATACTTCACACACAGGACACACAGAGTTAAAAATTTGAACATGTTCTTCTCCCTTAAGAACATCTATCAACACAGCAAAGTGACTTCCCATCCTTTCCCCTTTCAAATTCTCAATGGAGGCAGCAACTGATTCTGCCTTGTTTTGAACAGGGATTACAAAATAGAATCTCTGTCCAAGGAGCTTACTACGTATTTGCAGATGTGTATAGTTTAATAGCAACACAAAATATAAAGTGGTAAAAAATTATTAGTTATTATTAAGATATTTAATAGGCAGTAAGAATTACTGATTGCCTGCCACTCTGTGTCTCTTTGCATAATGTTCCTACCATACTCTCATTTTTTTCTATATTCATAAAAATACTAGTACTGATAACACTATATCTTTCAGTTTTTGAGTACATACAATTTTACATTCTGCTAATCCCTTTTCATACATCATCACATTTATTTCTATCATAAATTAAAATTTCCACAGGCAAAAGAAAATATTTCTTCATTACCCTCATTTATAATGTAAGGGTGCTTCAAAAATTCATGGAAAGATTTGTATTATCGTTTAATTTAATTTTTCCATGAAATTTTTGAAGTAGCCTTGTATATGTCCTTTCTCACACTTTATAACTTTAATGATAAAGGAACAATAAAGAATTTTTATTGGGTGTAAATTCTCCCCACAGTGGGAATTTCCCAACATTCTTCCTTTGGTTTTAAATCTCTTCTGTAAGACTTCTTCATCTTCTGCCTTGAGATCTGCATATTTCAGAAAATTAAAATCAAGTGTTTCTCTCTTCCCCACTACGATCAGCCTTTCTGAAGGTAGCAAAGTGTTTGGGTCCTGAGCAAACATGCAGTTAAAGGAATAAAGAGGTTTGACACTTTAAAGACATTGCATTGACAGGATCTGGGGAACTATTCCACATGGAGGCAGTGGGAGTTTCAGATAATGTTAGGGATGTCTTTAATCTGATTTAGAATTGAGTGGAATTGGGAGAACATGATGTAAAGATGGTTTTGGAAACATTTAATTAGGAACATTGCTAATGTCCACAGTGTATGTCCAGCAGATAGTTATAAGAATGAGAGGCTTCCATGGAAAGAATAGATTCAAGAATCCTACTGACTACTCTGCAAAATTCCATGGAATAAGGCATGCAGAGGCCCATGTGGGGAAGTCCATGGAGACCCTGGCCCCCTCACCCTGTTGCTGTGACAGAGAACAGAGCTCTGCACTGTCTCTGGAAGAAGAATTGCATAGAGCTCTTGTCTCATCCCTGACTCAAATTGGCCTCCATCTTCCTGAAGTTAGAGCAACTTTTTACGCCCATCCCACATTCCTACTCAGAATATAAACTGTAGCAATGTATTAACCAAGGTCATGTACCTTGTACTGTTAACATATCGAAAATTTCTGTTCAGGCCATCTAGGACCTTCATGTCCTCTGAAGACAACTGGAATTCAAAAACCTATTGCAGGAGCAGAAAATGTTTATTATTTTTAGACTGCATAATTGCCAATCTGGAAAATCCATGTGCATTAGACTGAATGATGCAG